AACGGTACGGGAAATATCTCCCGATACTTAGGAATTAGGAATATTGTCTTTTCTGAAAGTCGCGTTTCTGAAAAACGGTACGGGAAAACTCTCCTGCGGTATTATTTTCAAACTGTGAATATCCTTATCGGAATAAATCCGAATATTTGTCATTTCGGTTCGGAATTTTTTTCGCAGTTCGGGGATTCTGTCGTTCAGTCATATCAATCATTTGCAGTATAAAGTCGAAATCTTTTTCGCTTTCAGTGATCATTTTGTACTTCAAGGGAGGTTGGGGGACCTRCCGAACTTGCAAAAATCGGGATTTTTATTTTTTTTGAAAATTTTTTGCAAAGTTCAAACTTTTCTGTTTTGATTAGTGGCTCCTTACCGAAGTGTGAGTTGGGCGATTATCCCACCCACCCCTCCCCACCTATGTTGTTGCTATCTCTCGCCTTACCGTTTCTGTTTGAATCCGGGTACCCCCTGCGGCGGCATTGGTGAGTTGCCTCATCAGCAGGACACGTCAGCAGGACACATCAGCAGAGCCACGTCAGCAGCAAGGGATACCTTATCAGCAGGCCCCGACCGGTCTATGTTGTTGAGATCTCAAACAACAGTCATGGACCAGAGGCCCGGAGAAGCGGACGAGGCCTATYAGGCCCGCATGCTGGCCTGGAGTGCGGAGACTAAGAAATGGGCAGATGAAGCTGCAGCAGCAGCGAAGAAGAAGGCGGAAGATGCAGAGCAGGCACGTCTGCTGGCACTTGAACAACAGCGCCAGCATGACGAGGCAGCAGCAAGGGCTGCTGATGAAGAAAGAATACAGCGTCGTAAGAAGATATTCACTGGAGAGCGGGCATTACTTACCATGGCAGCGGCATGGCGGACCGAGGCCGAGGATGGCAAGTTGGAGGACAGCGCCAACAAGATAGCGCTCCTCCTCTCGCATCTCACGGATCTCCTGGCCACCTGCATTACACAGCAGGCGGAGATCCTTGGCCTCGACACCTCGCTAGCTCATCTCCAAGACCGCCTTCAGCGGTTGGAGCAGCGACCAGTCGCCGCCGCAGACGCAGGCTCTTCCAACACTACCGACCGCCTCAATGCATTGGAGATGGACGTCGGCACACTCAAGGATGGCGTACAATCGCAGCAGACCGCGATACAGCAATTGCAACAGCGGATCTGCACTACCGCCACCACTTCGAGTACAGAACCGCGCGAGACCACACCAAAGTTCGACGGGCAGGAGATCTTCTGCGACTCAATGAAGACAGATCCTATTCCATGGTTTCGCAAGTTCGAGCTCACGCTGCAGTTGTCCAACGTCAAGGAACACAAGCACCACGCCTACTTGTACTCTCGCTCAGGGGGCGCKTGCYAGGCCTGGTTGGACAACCTCCTGTCCAAGTACGGAGTGGTAGCTGCGGACTTGCACACCGTGATCAGTTGGGATGATCTGAAGGCGGCGTGGCACAAGCGGTTCCAGGTGGAGCCGCCAGAGATCAAAGCCATGGACAAGCTCATGGTCTTTGAGCAAGGCACGCTGCCGAGTACGGACTGGATCGCCGAGTACCAACGCTTGACATCAGTCCCAGACATCCAGATGGGCTTCAAGGCCATCCGCCATTACTTCATCTCAAGGTCATGTCCGRCATTGAGMAATGCCCTGACGCATGTCGAAGACACCTTGACGACGACGGCGGAGTTGTTCGACAAGGCTGCGCAGATCATTATCACAAACAAGGAGGCCAAAAACCTTCGTTCATCTGCGTCAGGCCCGAGCAGGGACCAGCATCGGCCAAGAGTGGYCGTGGTCGCAGCRGCAACGCCGTTAGACCAAACCAGCGAGGCTGTGTCTGCCAGTGAAGGAGTCAGACTCGCAGCCGCCCGGGAAGGTGGCCGCCCCGGCAAAGGCCGAGGACGCGGCAGGACGAAGACACACACCGCATCTAGCCCCGGGCTCGGTGCAGCAGCTTACACAGGCCCATGGACCCAGTATGGCATCTCCGAGTCCGCATTCAAGGCACGCGAGAGATTCCATTATTGCCTTTGGTGCAACAGCGATCTTCACCAGACGCAGGCTTGCCCGTTGAAAGGCAAGGGCAGACAGGGAAACTGAGCACCGCCGAGAGTGACTCGACGACACTCTCGACGCCTTTGGAACCGGTTTCTTCGCGAGTAGCTGACCTTCATTCCGAGGCGCATGCGGAAGTCGATAGTCCTCCTCTTCTACTTTCTTTTGAGGACTATGCTGCCCGGCTCGTTCCAACGCTGGGTACTTAAGCTCAAGGACAAGGAGTGTGTGCGGTTTCTTCTCCGTCTGACAACGGCGACAGTTCGTCTTCAAGTGGTTCTTCACGGGATTCGGCGCGCGAGTTCAACATAGAGGCATTGGACCCGCTCACGTCTGAGGACTTTGCATGGCTTCCTCTCCCGACCATCGGCCGATTGCCGGGACCGCAATGCGCAACACTTAGCGCTAATCTTCGCACTTACCTATCCTTCTATGCACCACCAACTTCGCCGACGGATGACAAAGTCGCGGTGGGGGACATCTTGGCGTATACTACCAAGGTGGCCCGCGAGTTTCGCACGCAGCGGTACGATGACAACAACGCACCGCTGATGTATGTCCGCATTCAGGTTGGGCAAGCGTCCTGCAGC